TGACACTTGGAACGATTCAGAAATCTTTGAATGAGACTAGAATAATTGGATATCCGAGGAGAATTGAAGCTATTCAGAAAACTGCATTGATAAATTTGGCAGGAGCACTGAGAAGACACTGGAGAATTGAAAATACTGGCTCTCATTTGACTCATGGAAATATCGCGAATAATAATAATAATAATAATAATAATAATAATAATAATAATGATGATGATATTGATAATAATACTAATAGCAGTAACGATAATAATAATAGTAGTAGTAGCAAAGATAATAATAATAACAATAGTAGTAGTAAAGATTATAAGAATAAAAAAGTAATAATATTAGTAATGATAATAATAATAATGATAATGGTATTAATAGTAACTATAATTAATAATATTAATAATGATAATAATAGTTGTAGTAGTAACGATAATAATTATATTAGTAGTAGTAAATGTAATAATAAAGTAATAGTAGTAGTAGTAGTAATAATAATAATAATAATAATAATAATTAATAATACATTCAATAATAATAATATAAATCTCAAAATGTGGAATATTGGAACATCAACAATCCTCGTTTTAGTTGGAACCCCTAGGATTGGTTGGAAAAAGATTCCAGTATATTAATTGAGGGATTCTGGAATCCCATGCCTCAAGGAAATAGAAAGAATTGTTTTTCACAAGTACAGCCCACACTTTAAAAGATCTATGTAAAAATATTTTTTTTTTTTTTTTTTTTTTTTTAGCAGTAGAAAGTGTCATGATGCCTTTTTCTAAACATTAGGTCTCTGGCCGGGACCCGGAAAAGAAAATGTAAACGCCAAAAATCAAAGGAAAAATAATAATAATAATAATAATAATAATAATAATAATAATAAGAAGAAGAAGAAGAAGAAGAAGAAGAAGAAGATGTTGATGATGATGATGATAATGAAAACATGAATTTTCCCAATTTTTCCTTATTATTTTCTGATGAATCAGAATTCTAGGATTAAAGCGAGAATAATTTGCTTGCCGGTTCCGGGACTAATAAATACACTTAAAATTCTCTATATATAATAATTAAGTATTTGAGCTTAAAATCTTTAGAAATATTTCAATAACCAACAAAAGTTTGAATGAAGATCATTATTTAAGAAAAGGTAAAAGAAAAATTATTAAATTTAACATTTTCCATTTCACTAAAACAGACGATAAATTCATCATGGGTTATCTATTCCACCTCCCTTTCTTTCTTTCTTTTTTAATTTCTTTTCTTTCTTTTCCTCCTTTCTTTCTTTATTACTACTTACTTACTTTTTCTTTTATTTATTACTTACTTTTCTTTCTTTCTTTCTTTATTACTTTCGTTCTGTTTATTATATGTCTTACCTTTTCTTAGTGAAAACAATCTTTATCACTGATATATCTTTCACTTCCGACTTTTTTTTTGTTGCAAACCAAAAGGTTTTTGTCATTATTTATCTGAAATAATGACAGAGCCTAATGCACTTGTTAACGTAAGAACTAACGCATAAATCAGCAGATTTCTAGTAGTTTAATAAATTGCAAGAATATGGATTAAGAATTGCAGGAATATGGATTTCAAAATAATTCCATAATAGCAGAAGCACAGGTTTAATTATAATGCATATGGTACGCAGAAATTAGAAAATTCTGAAATACTGTAGCAGACAAAATTTATGGTGATAGTGCTATTGGGTATGATAAAAAAATGATACTGAAAACTATGTAAATAAAATTCTTCGATTCATCAACATTCCCCAAAAATTTCATCGTGCGGAACTGCAAATCTGGAAACCCCTCTCCATCTTAAAGTCTCACCAATGTGCATAGATAAGTCTCCCAAGTGCCGTTTTTATTTATAGAGCCCAGAGGATTCTTTGCAATTAGGCTTTTAAAATTACTCTGCATAATAATAATCATAATAATAATAATAATAATAATAAGAAGAAGAAGAAGAAGAAGAAGAAGAAGAAGACGAAACTGTCGACCATATTATCTCAGGCTGTCCGGAACTGGCAAAAAAAAGAATATACCCAGGGATATAACAATGCAAAGACATATGTGCACTGGAAAATATGAAAGAAGCTCAAAATCGAATCCACTGAGAGATGGTATGACCACCAACCAGTCACAGTAACCCAAATAATGATGTAACTATTCTCTGGGGACATGCCAATTCAAACTGACTGGAAAACAAAAGCCATCAGACCTGATATCATAAAAGACAAAAAAGTGTATGTTTATTGACATAGCAGTAGCAACTGGAGAGAAACCTCCATAAATCTTATCGAAAAATTGTCCAAATACAAAGACCTGGACATCGAGATTAATAGGATGTGTGGACTGAAGACTGAGACTGTACCAATAGTAATCGGAGCACTGGGCATAATGAAATAAAGAATGGACAATTTTAATAATAATCTCCAGGTAACATCAACATAAAGTTGCCCAGAAGATCGCTCTACTAGGAAGATCTCATCTAAGAAAAGTGCTATCAATTAAATGACAATTCTCTTATAAGTTCTAAAGGATCATAGTTTGGAATCGGGTCCACAGGATGTAATGAAGGAAATATAACATACAAATAATAATAATAATAATAATAATAATAATAATAATAATAACAACAATAACAACAACAGCAATGGACCTCGTTGTTGACAGAACTAAAAATGTCATCGAAAAACGAAAAAATAAAACAATAACATGCCTCCTTCTTGAAAAGTCGCCTCCTGATGAAAATATCAGGTCATCCCATAATTTCTGTCTGAATTTTAACTTTTTGTTAAAATGAACGAAATTTAAAGAGTATTTTATAATGTCTAATAGAGCTGAGCATTATTTTTTATGTTTAAATGCATTTAAACTGATCAAAGTTTATTTCAGAGAACAATAAAATTAAATTTTGCTTGATTAAAACCATGCTAACATGGAAGTACCCAAGAATCATTTGAGGCGCATAATGCTTTATGAGTTCAAGGAAGGAAACTCAGCAGCTGAAGCGGCTAGAAACATTCACTCAATTTATGAAGAGGAATGTGTGAATGAAAGAACTTGCAGAAGATGGTTTGCAAAATTCAGAGGTGGAGATTTCACCCATGAAGATGAAGATCGAACCGGACGTGCAGTTGAGTTTGATGAAAAGCTTCTTTGAGGCAGCCCCTTGAAGAAAAATCTGCAGTTGAGGAATTGGCAGTGGTTCTCAGTTCAAACCATACAACTGTTCATCGTCTCGGCCTAAAATATGCCCATTGAACCCGTATAAACAGGTTCAGGTCGGTCTACCTCCCTGAAAGAGAATCCGCCCTTCGGCGTAGCCTCGTTCAGGTTCCTCCCCGCCCGAAGGCAGAGAGTTCAACCGATCAGCCAGTTGACTGACTGACTGACCCACTGGAGCCGACTCAATACTCCTACTTATTATAGGTGGAGAGTCTATTAACTATAGAATAGGTGTGTTCCACTATAACAAGAAAATTACAATATATATTCCTAGGGTGCATAATGAAAAATAGGTTTGGAAAATTTGATACTTTCATAGAAGATATTGAAGGAAGGAGGAGATGAAAGCAGCGTATGAATGCACAATGAAAGAAGTTTTATGCATGGTCATTCCCAAGATCTCTTTGTAGCGAATACTTCTGGAGGATTAAAAAACATCGGACTGTGAAGAACTGATATTCTCAAGAGAATATTATCAATGTAACCGATTAAACTCGATGTATATGTTGAGTGTCATATAACATCAGAAAATGAGCAAACAGAATATATATCTACTAATTTGCTTTCCGCTTAGCTTCGAGTAATTATATGGTGAAGTGATTGTAATTAAAAGACAGCAAAAATAAAAAGAATTAGAAGAAAATAGAAGAAAGAAAAATAAGAAGAAATTGAAGGAGAAAACGAAAAAGAAGAAAATGTAAGAAGAAATAAAAAAGAATAATTAAAAGAAGAATAAACATGAGAAAAGAGGAAAGAAGAAGGCGAAGAATATGAAATCGAAGAAAAATGGAAGAGAATTGAATTGAAGAAAAATTAAAAGAGTTATAAGAGAAGACAAAGAAGAAGAAGAAATAAAATAGGATTGAATAGAAGTAGAATAAGGAAAAAGTATAACAAAAGATAAAGAAGAATAAACCGAAAAAAGAAGAAATCAAAGAAGAAATATGAGAGGAATAATTAAAAAGAAAAGAAACATAAGAAAAAGAAATAGGAAGAAGAAAAGAGAAAGAAGAAGAAATAGAAATAGAAAATTAAATAGAAGAAGGAAGAAGAAGGAAAAGGAGAAGGAGAGAAAAGAAGAAGACATATGAGAGAAATAATTAAAAGAAGAAAACATAAGAAAAGAAAAAAGATATAGAAGAAGAAGAAGAAAAAAAAAGAAGAAGAAAAGAAGGAAAAGGAGAAGGAGAAAAAAAGAAAAAATGAGAGAATAATTAAAAGAAGAAACATAAGAAAAAGAAATAGAAGAAGAAGAAGAAGAAAAAGTAGAGAAAAGAAGAAGAAATGTGAGAGGAATAATTAAAAGAAGAAACATAAGAAAAGAAAGAGAAATAGAAGAAGAAGAAGAAGAAGAAAAGGAGAAGGAGAGAAAAAAGAGAGAAATATGAGAGGAATAATTAAAAGAAGAAACATAAGAAAATAAAAGAAGAAGAAGAAGAAGAAGAAAAGGAGAGAAAAAGAAGAAGAAATATCAGAGGAATAATTAAAAGAAAAAACATAAGAAAAGAAAGAGAAATAGAAGAAGAAGAAGAAGAAAAGAAGGAAAGAAGAAAGAAGATGAAGAAAAGAAGGAAAAGGAGAAGGAGAAAAGAAGAAGAAATATGGGATAAACAATTAAAAAGAAGAAACATAAGAAAAAAATGGAAGAAGAAGAAGAAGAAGAAGAAAAGGAGAATGAGAAGAAATATCAGAGGAATAATTAAAAGGAGAAACATAAGAAAAGAAAGAGAAATAGAAGAAGAAGAAAAGAAGGAAAAGGAGAGAAAAGAAGAAGAAATATCAGAGGAATAAAAAAGGAGAAAGCAAGAAGAAAGAAAGAAACAGAAGAAGAAGAAGAAGAAGAAGATGAAGAAGAAGAGAAGAAATAAAAGGAGAAGGGATTAAAAAGAAGAAATATAAGGAAAAAAAAGAAGAAATATAAGAAAAGGAAAGAAGAAGAAGAAGAAGAAGAAGAAAAGAAGGAAAAGGAGAAGGAGAGAAGAAAGAAAAAATATGGGAGGAATAATTAAAAGAAGAAAACATAAGAAAAAGAAATGGAAGGAAGAAGAAGAAGAAGAAGAAGGAAAAGGAGAGAAAAGAAGAAGAAATATCAGAGGAATAATAAAAGAAGAAACATAAGAAAGAAAAGAAATAGGAAGAAGAAGAAGAAGGAAAGGAGAAGCGAGAGAAAAGAAGAAGAAACATGGGAGGACACTAAAAGAAGAAACATAAGAAAAGAACAAAGAAGAAGAAGAAGAAGAAGAAGAAAAGGAGAGAAAAGAAGAAGAAAATCAGAGGAATAATTAAAAGGAGAAACATAAGAAGAAGAAGAAGGGGAAGAAGAAGAAGAAGAAGAAGAAGAAGAAGAAGAAGATGAAGAAGAAGAAGAAGGAAAAGGAGAAGGGGAGAAAAGAAGAAGAACATGAGAGGAATAATTAAAAAAGAAAACATAACAAAAAAGAAAAGAAATAGAAGAAGAATAAGAAGAAGAAGAAGAAGAAGAAGAAGAAGAAGAAGAGAAGAAGGAAAAGGAGAAGGGGAGAAAAGAAGAAGAAATATGAGGGGAACAATTAAAAGAAGAAACATAGGAAAAAGAAAAAGAAATAGAAGAAGAAGAAGAAGAAGAAGAAGAAGAAGGAAAAGGAGAAGGAGAGAAAAGAAGAAGAAATATGGGAGGAATAATTAAAAGAAGAAACATAAGAAAAAGAAATAGAAGAAGAAGAAGAAGAAGAAGGAAAAGGAGAGAAAAGAAGAAGAAATATCAGAGAAATAATTAAAAGAAGAAACATAAGAAAAAGAAAAAGAAATAGAAGAAGAAGAAGAAGGAAAAGGAGAAGGAGAGAAAAGAAGAAGAAATATGGGAGGAATAATTAAAAGAAGAAACATAAGAAAAAGAAATGGAAGAAGAAGAAGAAGAAGAAGAAGGAAAAGGAGAGAAAAGAAGAAGAAATATCAGAGGAATAATTAAAAGGAGAAACATAAGAAGAAGAAGAAGAAGAAGAAGAAGAAGAAGAAGAAGAAGAAGATGAAGAAGAAGAGAAGAAGGAAAAGGAGAAGGGAAAAGAAGAAGAAATATGAGAGGAATAATTTAAAAGAAGAAACATAACAAAAGAAAAGAAATAGAAGAAGAAGAAGAAGAAGAAGAAGAAGAAGAAGAAGAAGAAGAAGAAGAGAAGGAAAAGGAGAAGGGGAGAAAAGAAGAAGAAATATGAGGGGAACAATTAAAAAGAAGAAACATAGGAAAAGAAAAGAAATAGAAGAAGAAAGAGAAAAGAACTTAACATTGTACTATGATTAGTTACATTCAATGAAAAGACTAGTACATTACTAAAAGTCGTTTTGCTTATAGACATATCCTTAGTGTATTGGCCACCATTTTGTTTTGTTTCACTATTACACGTTCAAGAAAACGCTCACGTATTGGACTCTTACTAATACTATGATAAAAGCGTTGATTAGATAGAATAAAATGAAAATTAATAATTACGAACATTTTGAACGAGAGTGTTGCAATCTAAAACAATAATAGAAAGAGTGAGGGAAAATAATAATAATAATCGTAAAATAATCATGATAATAAACCTTAATTTATCTGTGACCACAAAACTACAGTTAAATAATGAATAGTGAGACTAGTATTGGGATAAATAAATCTACTATAAGTTCAGAGTAATAATGAATACTATATTGATCCTGTTGTTTTCGTATAAAAAATCTGCAATAATGAGATGGAGCAAAGCTAGCAGTTAAATAACAATGAAAATGTTTTGACACAGAGTATTTGGATAATAAAGCACAATATTGAGACAAATTAAAAATAGTAATGAAACAATGGCAATAATGAAAAATGTATTGAACCAGTGTTTTGAGATAAAAATAAAGATAATGTAAAAGTAGGATTAAAATCATAGTAATAAAGAAATTGTATTGACCCAATATCTTTGGATAAAAAAAGCAACAATAATATGATGGATTAAAACTACCAATAAAATAATAAAGATTAACCATTTAAGCCCTACGTTCCTGAACAATTATAACCATTCTGCCTGAGCTCCTGAGCCAAAATTCGCAAATAATTGGTATGTAATGTTTCACCGTAGATATAAATATAGTTACAAGTGTTTATCCACGGTTCAACCGGTGGCTGGGCCTTAAGTCATTTTTCTCTACCACCGGTAAAGTGGTGGTCAGGGCTCAAAGTGTAAAAATTAATAAAGATTTTTTTTTAAACTAAAAGTGACATTAATGAGTAAAATAACCCTCATGTAACAATATCTGGTGGAATTTTGGTAACCAAGAAATATCAAATATTAATAATAATGCAGATTATGTGAAGTACATCCAGAAATAATTGACCATCTTTTATCAACCCGCATGGTATTGTCATCCACTGAACATGAAAGTCAGTATGGGTCAACATCTACACTGTACAACATACATCTTGTAAGGAAAGTAAACTCAAAGAACTGGTATGAACAACATTCAGACCCGGTTACGGACACAGGTCCTGCAAAAATTTTATGCAACTTTATAAAATACATAGACAGAAAAAACAAAGCTAATCGCCCAGACATCAAGGACCACATGAATAGAGGGTGACTTCTCATAGGCATGTCACTGCCTGCAGACTGTAATATATATTCGAAGATTAAAAAAAAAAAAAAAAAAAAACTATCACATTTCAAAGATCTTGAAGTGGAAATCTCAAAAATGTAGTACAATAATTCTACTTGTAATTGGAGCCCTCGGAATGATCGAAAAAGTATCAATATACCCATTGAAAAGATCCATAGTAGTCCAAGCCTTGAAAAATACAAAATATTGTACTCACAAGTATTGTCCATACTTTAAAAAAGCTTTATCTACGCAAAATGAGTGTCAGCGTAGTGGATATTTTTTTTTTTAAAAAACATGCCAGTGTAAATTAATAATAATTGGTTATGTCTTTACTTATCGGTGATTGTATAAAATGTAACAATAATAAAATGAAATGAAGCCAGTAAAAAAATACGAGTAATTACGAATAGTTAGGTTAAAAAAAGCAAGACATTGTTGGAATAAAACTTGTTAAAATCATAGTTTATTATGCGAAGTATATTGAAGGATCGTGTTGTGATAAAAAAATAGAATAAAAAAAAAATTAGAACCCAAATAACAGTAACAATAAAGAGTGTCTTCACTCAGACTGTTGGGATCAAAAGCAAGAATGATAAGCTGAATTAAATATCGTAAGAAAATAATAGTAATTATGAAGGATATTTGATTCAATACGTGTTTAAAACTACATTAAACTAATGTTATCTACGATAATTATTTTTACCCATATTTTACTTAAATGATAAAATGGTGAACTAAAACTAGTAATTAATAATAGTTTATTATGAATGATTTGTAGAACTAGAAATTTAGAATAATAATATGATGAAGACCTAGTAATAAGATGATAGTAATAATGAAAAGTCTATTGTTCTATAATGTTGTGATATAAAATTTTAATAAGATCGAATAAAAATAATAGATATAGTTAAATCTGTATTGATTCATAATACTAAGATATAAAAAAACGACAATAATAAGATGAATTTAAAATAGTAATAAACAATAGTATTTATTAAGAGTGAATCGACCCAAAAGGCGATGATAATGATACGAGGTAACGTTAATGATAAAATAAAAGTAATAATGAAGAGTGTATCGACCCAGTGAGTTGAGACAATAACAACAATATTAAGTTGGAGGAAATAAAGAAAGGAAATAGTAATGTCGGATCTGTAAAAAAAAAAAAACGATTATCTGGGATTTGAATTTCAAATGGATTTGCTCTTGCCTAACAACAGAACACGGATCTTCTTATTTCAAACATAAGAAAAGGAAATTCGTTAGCCATTCAACCATATCGTTCTACTTGAACCCGAAGGAAAAGTAAAAGTTGAAAAAAGTCTAAACCATGCCAGATCTTTTTTTTTTTCTTTTTTGTTATGGAAATAATGGCAATGCTACCAGTCATTATTGGAGCACTTGGAACGATTCCAGAAATCTTTGAATGAGACTAGAATAATTGGATATCCGAGGGAGAATTGAAGCTATTCAGAAAACTGCATTGATAAATTTGGCAGGAGCACTGAGAAGACACTGGAGAATTGAAAATACTGGCTCTCATTTGACTGGGCGGAAATATCGCGAATAATAATAATAATAATAATAATAATAATAATAATAATAATAATAATGATGATGATATTGATAATAATACTAATAGCAGTAACGATAATAATAATAGTAGTAGTAGCAAAGATAATAATAATAACAATAGTAGTAGTAAAAGATTATAAGAATAAAAGTAATAATATTAGTAATGATAATAATAATAATGATAATGGTATTAATAGTAACTATAATTAATAATATTAATAATGATAATAATAGTTGTAGTAGTAACGATAATAATTATATTAGTAGTAGTAAATGTAATAATAAAGGTAATAGTAGTAGTAGTAGTAGTAGTAGTAGTAATAATAATAATAATACATTCAATAATAATAATATAAATCTCAAAAATGTGGAACATTGGAACATCAACAATCCCTGTTTTAGTTGGAACCCTAGGATTGGTTGGAAAAGATTCCAGTATATTAATTGGAGGGATTCCTGGAATCCCATGCCTCAAGGAAATAGAAAGAATTGTTTTCACAAGTACAGCCCACACTTTACAAAGATCTATGTAAAATATTTTTTTTCTTTTTTTTTTTTTTTTTTTTTTAGCAGTGGAAAGTGTCATGATGCCTTTTCTAACATTAGGTCTCTGGCCGGGACCCGGAAAGAAATGTGTAAACGCCAAAAATCAAAGGAAATAATAATAATAATAATAATAATAATAATAATAATAATAATAAGAAGAAGAAGAAGAAGAAGAAGAAGAAGAAGAAGATGTTGATGATGATGATGATAATGAAAACATGAATTTTCCCAATTTTTCCTTATTATTTTTCTGATGAATCAGAATTCTAGGATTAAAGCGAGAATAATTTGCTTGCCGGTTCCGGGACTAATAAATACACTTGCAAATTCTCCTATATATAATAATTAAGTATTTGAGCTTAAAATCTTTAGAAATATTTCAATAACCAACAAAAGTTTGAATGAAGATCATTATTTAAGAAAAGGTAAAAGAAAAAATTATTAAATTTAACATTTTCCATTTCACTAAAACAGACGATAAATTCATCATAGGGTTATCTATTCCACCACCTCCCTTTCTTTCTTTCTTTTTTAATTTCTTTCTTTCTTTCCTCCTTTCTTTCTTTATTACTTACTTACTTTCTTTCTTTATTTATTACTTACTTTCTTTCTTTCTTTCTTTATTACTTTCGTTCTGTTTATTATATGTCTTACCTTTTTCTTAGTGAAAACAATCTTTATCACTGATATATCTTTCACTTCCGACTTTTTTTGTTGCAAACCAAAAGGTTTTTGTCCATTATTTATCTGAAATAATGACAGAGCCTAATGCACTTGTTAACGTAAGAACTAACGCATAAATCAGCAGATTTCTAGTAGTTTAATAAATTGCAAGAATATGGATTAAGAATTGCAGGAATATGGATTTCAGCACAATTCCATAATAGCAGAAGCACTAGGTTTAATTATAATGCATACTGGTACGTAGAAATTAGAAAATTCGAAATACTGTAGCAGACAAAATTTATGGTGATAGTGCTATTGGGTATGATAAAAAAAAATGATACTGAAAACTATGTAAATAAAATTCTTCGATTCATCAACATTCCCAAAAATTTCATCGTGCGGAACTGCAAATCTGGAAACCCTCTCCATCTTAAAGAATCCTCACCAATGTGCATAGATAAGTCTCCTACAGTGCCGTTTTTACTTATAGAGCCCAGAGGATTCTTTGCAATTAGGCTTTTAAAATTACTCTGCCAAGCACAATCATAATAATAATAATAATAATAATAATAATAATAAGAAGAAGAAGAAGAAGAAGAAGAAGAAGACGAAACTGTCGACCATATTATCTCAGGCTGTCCGGAACTGGCAAAAAAAGAATATACCCAGGGATATAACAATGCAAAGACATATGTGCACTGGAAAATATGAAAGAAGCTCAAAATCGAATCCACTGAGAGATGGTATGACCACCAACCAGTCACAGTAACCCAAAATAATGATGTAACTATTCTCTGGGACATGCCAATTCAAACTGACTGGAAAACAAAAGCCATCAGACCTGATATCATAAAAGACAAAAAGTGTATGTTTATTGACATAGCAGTAGCAACTGAGAGAAACACCTCCATAAATCTTATCGAAAAATTGTCCAAATACAAAGACCTGGACATCGAGATTAATAGGATGTGTGGACTGAAGACTGAGACTGTACCAATAGTAATCGGAGCACTGGGCATAATGAAATAAAGAATGGACAATTTTAATAATAATCTCCCAGGTAACATCAACATAAAGTTGCCCAGAAGATCGCTCTACTAGGAAGATCTCATCTAAGAAAAGTGCTATCAATTAAATGACAATTCTCTTATAAGTTCTAAGGATCATAGTTTGGAATCGGGTCCACAGGATGTAATGAAGGAAATATAACATACACAAATAATAATAATAATAATAATAATAATAATAATAATAACAACAACAATAACAACAACAGCAATGGACCTCGTTGTTGACAGAACTAAAATGTCATCGAAAAAACGAAAAAACAAAACAATAACATGCCTCCTTCTTGAAAAGTCGCCTCCTGATGAAAATATCAGGTCATCCATAATTTCTGTCTGAATTTTAACTTTTTGTTAAAATGAACGAAATTTAAAAGTATTTTATAATGTCTAATAGAGCTGAGCATTATTTTTATGTTTAAATGCATTTAAACTGATCAAAGTTTATTTCAGAGAACAATAAAATTAAATTTTGCTTGATTAAAACCCTGTTAACATGGAAGTACCCAAGAATCATTTGAGGCGCATAATGCTTTATGAGTTCAAGAAAGGAAACTTAGCTGCCGAAGCGGCTAGAAACATTCACTCAATTTATGAAGAGGAATGTGCGAATGAAAGAACTTGCGGAAGATGGTTTGCAAAATTCAGATGTTGAGATTTCACCCATGAAGATGAAGATCGAACCGGACGTCCAGTTGAGTTTGATGAAAAGCACCTTGAGGCAGCCCTTGAAGAAAATCCTGCAGTTGAGGAATTGGCAGTGGTTCTCAGTTCAAACCATACAACTGTTCATCGTCTCGGCCCAAAATATGCCCATTGAACCCGTATAAACAGGTTCAGGGTCGGTCTACCTCCCCGAAAGAGAATCCGCCCTTCGGCGTAGCCTCGTTCGGGTTCCTCCCCGCCCGAAGGCAGAGAGTTCAACCGATCAGCCAGTTGACTGACTGACCGACCCACTGAGCCGACTCCTCATACTCCTACTTATTATAGGTGGGAGAGTCTATTAACTATAGAATAGGTGTGTTCCACTATAACAAGAAAATAACAATATATATTCCTAGGGTGCATAATGAGAAAAATAGGTTTGGAAAATTTGATACTCATAGAAGATATTGAAGGAAGGAGGAGAGATGAAAGCAGCGTATGAATGCACAATGAAAGAAGTTTTAGCCATGGTCATTCCCAAGATCTCTTGTAGCGAATGCTTCTGGAGGATTAAAAAAACATCGGACTGTGAAGAACTGATATTCTCAAGAGAATATTATCAATGTAACCGATTAAACTCGATGTATATGTTGAGTGTCATATAACATCAGAAAATGAGCAAACAGAATACATATATCTACTAATTTGCTTTCCGCTTAGCTTCGAGTAATTATATGGTAAGTGATTGTAATTAAAAGACAGCAAAAATAAAAAAGAATTAGAAGAAAAATAGAAGAAAGAGAAAAATAAGAAGAAATTGAAGGAGAAAACGAAAAAGAAGAAATGTAAGAAGAAATAAAAAAAAGAATAATTAAAAGAAGAATAAACATGAGAAAAAGAGGAAGTAGAAGAAGGCGAAGAATATGAAATCGAAGAAAAAATGGAAGAGAATTGAATTGAAGAAAAATTAAAAGAGTTATAAGAGAAGACAAAGAAGAAGAAGAAATAAAATAGGATTGAATAGAAGTAGAATAAGGAAAAGAGTATAACAAAAGATAAAGAAGAATAAACCGAAAAAGAAGAAATCAAAGAAGAAATATGAGAGGAATAATTAAAAGAAGAAACATAAGAAAAAGAAATAGAAGAAGAAAGAGAAAAAGAAGAAGAAATAGAAATAGAAAATTAAATAGAAGAAGAAGAAGAAGGAAAAGGAGAAGGAGAGAAAAGAAGAAGACATATGAGAGAAATAATTAAAAGAAGAAACATAAGAAAAAGAAAAAGATATAGAAGAAGAAGAAGAAAAAGAAGAAGAAGAAGAAGAAGGAAAAGGAGAAGGAGAGAAAAAAAGAAGAAATATGAGAGGAATAATTAAAAGAAGAAACATAAGAAAAAGAAATAGAAGAAGAAGAAGAAGTAAAAGGAGAGAAAAGAAGAAGAAATATGAGAGGAATAATTAAAAGAAGAAACATAAGAAAAAGAAAGAGAAATAGAAGAAGAAGAAGAAGAAGAAGAAGGAAAAGGAGAAGGAGAGAAAAAAAGAAGAAATATGAGAGGAATAATTAAAAAGAAGAAACATAATAAAAAAGAAATAGAAGAAGAAGAAGAAGAAAAAAGGAAAAGGAGAAGAAATATCAGAGAATAATTAAAAGAAAAAACATAAAAAAAAAAAAAACAAGAAGAAGAAGAAAAGAAGAAGAAGAAGAAGAAGAAGAAGAAGAAGAAAAAGAAGGAAAAGGAGAAGGGGGAAAAGAAGAAGAAATATGGAGGAATAATTAAAAAGAAGAAACATAAGAAAAAGAAATGGGAAGAAAGAAGAAGAAGAAGAAAAGGAGAGAAAAGAAGAAGAAATATCAAGAATAAACATAAGAAAAGAAAAAAGAGAAGAAGAAGAAAGAAGAAGGGGAGAAGAAGAAGAAGAAATATCAGAGGAATAATTAAAATAAGAAAAAAAGGAAGAAAAAGAAGAAAAGAAGAAGATGAAGAAGAAGAAGAAAAGAAGAACAAAAAAGAAGAAGAAATATGGAGGAATAATTAAAAGAAGAAAAGAAGAAAAAGGAAAAAGAAGAAGAAGAAGAAGAAGAAGAAGAAGGAAAAGGAGAAGGAAGAAAAGAAGAAGAAATATCAGAGGAATAATTAAAAAGAAGAAACATAAGAAAAAGAAAAGAAAAGAAGAAGAAGAAGAAGAAGAAGAAAAGGAAGAAGAAGAAATAAGGAATAATTAAAGAAGAAACATAAGAAAAAGAAAAAGAAAGAAAAGAAGAAAAAATATGGGAAGGAGAAAATAAGAAGAAAATGGGAAGAAACATAAAAAAAGAAATAAGAAAAAGAAGAAGAAGAAGAAGAAGAAGAAGAAGGAAAAGGAGAGAAAAGAAGAAGAAATATCAGAGGAATAATTAAAAGGAAACATAAGAAACATAAGAAGAAATTGAAGAAGAAGAAGAAGAAGAAGAAGAAGAAGAAGAAGAAGAAGAAGAAGATGAAGAAGAAGAGAAGAAGGAAAAGGAGAAGGGGAGAAAAGAAGAAGAAATATGGGAGGAATAATTAAAAGAAGAAACATAAGAAAAAGAAATGGAAGAAGAAGAAGAAGAAGAAGAAGAAGAAGAAGAAGAAGAAAGAAGAGAAGAAAAGAAGGGAGAAAAGAAGAAGAAATATCAGAGGAATAATTAAAAAAGAAGAAACATAAGAAAAAGAAAAAGAAAAGAAGAAGAAGAAGAAGAAGAAGGAAAAGGAGAAGGAGAGAAAAGAAGAAGAAATGGGAGGAATAATAAAAAAAGAAATGGAAAAGAAGAAGAAGAAGAAGAAGAAGAAGAAGAAGAAGAAGGAAAAGGAGAGAAAAGAAGAAGAAATATCAGAGGAATAATTAAAAGAAGAAACATAAGAAAAAGAAAGAGAAATAGAAGAAGAAGAAGAAAAGAAGAAAGAAAAGAAGAAGATGAAAGAAAAAAGAAAAAGAAAGGAAAAGGAGAAGAAGGAAGGAAAAGAAAAGAAGAAGAAATATCAGAGGAATAATTAAAAGAAGAAACATAAGAAGAAAAAAAGGAAGAAAAAGAAGAAGAAGAAGAAAGAAGAAGAAGAAGGAAAAGGAGAAAGGGGAGAAAGAAGAAAGAAATATGAGAGGAATAATTAAAAGAAGAAACATAACAAAAAGAAAAAGAAATAGAAGAAGAAGAAGAAGAAGAAGAAGAAGAAGAAGAAGAAGAAGAAGAAGAAGAGAAGAAGGAAAAGGAGAAGGGGAGAAAAGAAGAAGAAATATGAGGGGAACAATTAAAAGAAGAAACATAGGAAAAAGAAAAAGAAATAGAAGAAGAAAGAGAAAAAAGAACAAATAGAAACACAAAATTAAATAGAAGGGAAATGAAGAAGAAGAAGAAGAAGAAGAAGGAAAAGGAGAAAGGGGACGAAAATAAGAAGAAAAAGAACAACAGCAACAACAAGAAGAAATAGGAGGAGGAAAAGAAAAGCAAGAAAAAGAAAAAGAAGTTACAGTAATGTCTATCTCATATCGAATAACGCTGAGGATAACATGGAATATTAATGTCAATCTACTGCCGACCCAACCGCCTCGAGTTCTACTAAAAATGCATCGAATTCGGAGGAATTGGAAATTTGATTCAGTGACTGTAATGTTGAAAGGGTCAGCAGTGAGAATGAGAAAACCACTGAAGATTTGCAGGGACTTACTGTCAACTCCTCTGCAGCGGACGATGACTTGGACAGGAAAATGAAATAATAATAATAATAATAGTCATAATTTACGGAGATAAGACCTGTTACAATTTTATGGGACTACACAATACACGGAGACAGAACAATCAAAACTAATCGCCTTGACGTTGTTATAAAAGACTGCAAACAAAACAAATTGCCCCCATATTGATATGGCAGTTCCTGTAGACTGCAATGCATCTTTGAAGATCTTCGAAAAACTGTCAAAATACAAGGACTTTGAAATCGAAATCTCAAAAATGTGTCACATGGGAGCATCAAAAATTGTTGTAGTTGGAGCCCTAGGATATGTTGGAAATGATTCCAACAGGCACATTTAGGTGATTCTTGATTCGTGACTTGAAGAAATACAAAAATTTCTCATCATGAATACAGCCCACACTTTACGAAGGGCTTTATCTATGTAAATTATGTGTGTGTGCACGCGCGTATTTTTTTTTTTGTTTTGTTTTTTGCTCAACGGAAAATGTCACGATGATATTTCTTATCTTAAGTCTCTGTGCGGAGGGACCGGGAAAAGAAAAGTGTATACATCAGAAATCAAAGGAAATAAAATATAGCAGTCCCTGCTGACTGCAATGTATCTTTGAAGATATTCAAAAAGTTGTCAAAATACAAGGACCTTGAAATAGAAATCTCGAAAATGTGGCATATGGGAACATCAATAATCCCTGTTGTAGTTGGAGCCCTAGGACTGGTCGGAAAAGATTCCAGTAGACTAATTGAAGGGATTCCTGGAAGCCTATGCCTCAAGGAGATACAAAAAATTGTTCTGACAAGTACAGCCCACACTTTACGAAGGGCTTTATCTATGTAATTTTTTTTTTTTTGTCAGTGGAAAGTGTCATGATGCCATTTCTAACCTTAGGTCCCTGGGCGGGACCCGGAAAGAAATGTGTAAACGCCAAAAATCAAAGAAAATAAAAATAATAATAATAATAAAAAAATTCTACTTATAAGTACAGATCTCACCATCCGAGGAGGGTTAGCTATGTGAAATGTGTGTGATGTTAGTTCTTCCCTTTTTCCTCAAAAATACACAGTGGAATATGGCATGATGTCATTTCTGACATTAGATCTCTGGTTGGGACCCTGAAGAAAATAAGTATGAATAATAATAATAATAATAATAATAATAATAATAATAATGAAGAAGAAGAAGAACAACAACAACAATAACAACAACAGTTTGTGAAATAATGAAGTTCGAATAAGAGACAGAGACACTCAAGGAGGAGAGAGAAAACATACAGAATAGTGAAGAAGGAGAGACAATTCAAAGAAAATGAAAATTAATGAGGGGTGGAAGAAAGAATGAGTGGGAATAAGAGAGAAAGGTCGAGGAATAAGTGCGAGAGAAATAAGAGCGAAGAAAATTGGGGAAAAAGAAGATAAACCCCAATCCATTTATTTGACAAATTTAAAATTACTGAATGAATGGCTATTTAAAAGGATATATGACTCGTTGACCATAACCCTTACTCGCCTGGTATTATAAATCTAACTGAAAGAATCCAGCTTCATGCAGTAAAAAAAATGATTTATTGATCTTTCCATTTTGAATGGATGCCGGCTAACGATTTTTCGAGAGCAACTTAAAAATGTTTCATGTTAATAAATCATTAAGAAGGTCCAATTTCAACTTCTATTCAAAGGGGACAGCATCTGAAGTACTTTCGATGGGTGGAAAAGAAAATATTTTCGATTCGAGTTTTGCTATGTGAGGAGCAATTCAACAGACAGAACTTCCCGTTGAATTCACATAATTCTTTTTCTTCTCCATGTTTGATTGATTTTCTTTAGCGGTATATGAAACTATATGAGTTATTTAATGCCGAAGTCTAAATAATTTGAACACAATTTTACAGCTTCAACTAAATATATTTTGAACGCAATTGGATGCCTTCCACTACAGACGAAATGTATTGTCGCTAATTGTTTATCAAAAATATTGCTGGTCATTTTATATTTAAGTAAGTATTGTTGGTTATATTTCTATAAATAGGTGTTTTTAAAATTCTATACTGTTTTGATTTGTTTGGGTTTCACAATTTTCCTATAGCTGGGACTCTCTTAATACGTGGTTGAAGGCATAAAAGTGTTTTCAAAATATTTACATTTCTGCATTAAATAACAATTAGAGATTAATATGCCGAGCCAAACCAAGCAGCAGGAGGAGATACTTGAAATATCACAAATGCTTGATTTCCACACAAATATATAATAGTGTAATCCATCAGCATTGATAGGGACTAAACTTTTCTCGGCAGAGGCAACGAACTTAGTAAATAACCCAATATAGAAACAGCATTAAGACAAGGCTCATTTTCTCACCGTATATATTTATGCTTTCGTAGGGAGGTGATCCTATGATGTAGATATATCACTATTTATGAAAATTTCTCCGATTTAACTAGTAGAGAAAACAATATTTATGAATAAAAATTACAATAGGAAAACTAGTAATTGCTGACGCGTTTCGTCCAATGTGGACTTTATCAAAGCAAAATACGAAAATGAAATTAATTGAACAAGGTAACTAATAAAAATAAAAATAAATGTATACAACAGATTCCTGGACATTGAGTTCTACATGGATTCTATCCTCTTGGAATTATTTTTTGTACAAATATATATGTATGTGTATGTATGTATGAATATATATTTATATATTTTGCATATCTATGTGTATATTTACCACTAATATTATATATCTAACTATCTATCTATCTGTCTATCTATATATCTATCTATATATCGAAATTAAAATAACTGATCCAAGTGTGACTTTTGGATAATAAGTACGACATTACTGTAATTATTGAACAATATAGTTCATGCCACTTTGACAGAAAATTTACCAGTAAAAAATTCGTTTATCACCATATTTGTACAAGAACGCACAACTGTAAAAATTTAAAATCCAACTCACGCTCCAAAAACAATAACATTTCCAATAGCATTTTCGGATACAACAATACATATATTTTCGTTGTCCTCTTATTACTGAGAGAAGAAACAAGAACAACATCTATTCCATACCTGAAGATGTCTGTAGGAACAGACGAAAGCTTGTAGTAAAAATAAGAAATAATGCAGCAGAAATTTATAGAAACAAGGATCTTTTCATTCATAACAGGTTCGGAGGTTTTTGTATATTATTTGAATTGTTTGCGACGATGGATTTCTCGTCAATTAAATCATTAAGCTTTGCATTTGTTTTTGTGTGAATAATTCATGAATATATATATATATATATATATATATATATATATATATATATATATATATATATGTATAAAAAATGACATTAGGAAAACTAGTAATTGCTGACGCGTTTCGTCCAATGTGGACTTTATCAAAGCAAAATACGAAAATGAAATTAAATGAACAAAGTAACTAATAAAAAAAAAACAGAATGTACCTAGCAACTGGAATGTAGAGAAACGCTATTTTCATATTTTTAACTGAAAAATAACGTCAGTATTTGTCACGTGTAGAGAATATTGCCATTATATCTGTGTTGATGTATTCAACTATATTCACTATTTATCCCTACCGGACACTGGTGACACTAAATTGAAGAGTTATCTAAAACGAAAAGTTTAAAACAAATACAAGACGAGACAGCAACATAAAACAAGAACGAACTAATATCAAATAACCGTAAGAAGACAAAATGGACAGCCTATATCATCAGTTATACAGGATGTCCATAAAGTCTTTTTCTGCAATTTAAAAAATATATTACAACGACAATTGATGAGATATTTTAATCAGATTCATTCTATATACTCAGTAGTTGTCAAAGATTTTAATCACGTTGTATTTGTGTATTTCAGGTAACGTTTTGATGAAATATGTACTGTTAAAAAAAACCCTAACATTTCCAGACTGGTGGAGTGGAAAGGATGGCCTGGCCACCACGTTCACCAGATATTACTGTCTGGAATTCTTTCTATGGGGTTCTGTTAAAATATCATGTATTGAATAAAGATACGTACGGGAAATCATTGATCTGAAGAAAAAATATCACTAATGCCATTGCCACCATTTATGAGGTTAAGGTACAGCGAATATGGCAAGGAATCAAGTATCGTGTTGATGTGCCTAGTGCAACTAATGGCGTCCATATAGAGATGTATAAAATTAGGTAAAAAATTAAAAAAAAACAATATCTATTCCTCATTTTGTAACAATTTCCACATATTTTTCTGTTCTTTTGTTTTGTATTTTTTTTAAATTTTAAAGAATCTCTATGGACATCCTGTATAAGGAAAGTGAGATAGATAGATAGATAGATAGATAGATAGATAGATAGATAGATAGATAGATAGATAGATATGAACAGACTGGAATAGATAGATAGATGGATAGATAGATAGAGAGAGAGAGGGAGAGAGAGAGAGAGAGAGAGATGAACAGACTGAGATAGATGTAATGAAGAATCTGAATAGATAAAATGGAGGAAATAAACAAAAAGGTAATAAACGAAGCTTATATATATATACAGGTTCGGGGTTTTTTGTATATTATTTGAATTGTTTGCGACGATGGGTTTCTCGCCAATTAAATCATTAACCTTTACATTTGTTTTTGTATGAATAATTCATGAATTTGTAAATTGATTGCACGTTTATCGAAATTAAAATAACTGATCCAAGTGCGACTTTTGGATAATAAGTGCGACATTACTGTAATTATTGAACAATATAGTTCATGCCACTTTGACAGAAAATTTACCAGTAAAAAATTCGCTTATCACAATATTTGTACAAGAAAGCACAACTGTAAAATTTAAAATCAAACTCAGCGTTGTATACTGCACGCTCCAAAAACATTAACTCATTCCCAATAGCATTTTTCGGATACAACAATGCATATATTTTCGTTGTCCTCTTATTACTGAGAGAAAAAACAAGAACATCTATTCCATACTTGAAGATGTCTGTAGGAACAGACGATAGCTTGTAGTAAAAATAAGAACTAATGCAGCAGAAATTTATAGAAACAAGGATCTTTTCATTCATACAGGTTCGGGTTTTTTTGTATATTATTTGAATTGTTTGCGACGATGGATTTCTCGCCAATTAAATCATTAACCTTTGCATTTGTTTTTTTGAATAATGAATAATATATATATATATATATATATATATATATATATATATATATATATATATATATATATATATAGAGAGAGAGAGAGAGAGAGAGTGAGAGAGATAATGAAACATTACATATAGTTAGATAAATAGAAAGAAACGACGCTGATAGATAGATAGATAGATAGATACATAGATAAAAATACTTCAATATCTACTCATTTCTTAATTTCTACATATTTGCTTTTGAAATAATTTTTTTTTGAAATTGTAAATTGACTTTACGCACATAGTGTAGTTCGTTCTACTTCCGGTGGCCATGAGGCGAGATATATTGTCTTGATCATTTTTAGAAATCCTCAATCATTGCTAATTACTGTTTCCACTTTATCTGAGTCTATACAAACCACCCCAAAGATTGAACAGGAAAAACTCTTCGAGAATTAACACTGCTGTTCGTGAACTTGGTGATATATTGTCATCAGGTAATTCATCCTCATATTGTCATCGAGTGATTTGTAGGTTAATGCAACTTTAAACTTTTGTTAACGAAGGCATTTCGCCATTTTATATCATTAACTTTACTAATCTACAATTTCTATGAATGATTCATTGTAATATAAATTGAACTGCACCACGTATTTGATATATATATATATATATATATATATATATATATATATATATATATATATATATACCTGTCTTTTTCTCTCTGCTTTCGGTGTATGCATGCGTATGTGTGTTCTAAGTTAGGGTTCCGTCTGACCCTAGCTAGAAGACATGACGTTCGTTCATCCAAACACGCCAAAAATTAATCTCGCTCTCCCACATACATAGTTTTTAATAATGAGTTCTTGGATTAGAAGTTATTCGGACGTTTGCTTTGTACATTAAACGACATTCTACGTCTTTGTTCGAAATATATAAGACAAACGCTGAAAAAAAAACACATGAGACGAATTCTATTGTACCGGTAATTTCAATCGACGATAACTGCCATTGAAAAGGAAAACTGTCCTCTAATCATATGCGTCTGTTAATGTAATTAACTGGTCTTCTTTAATTAACGTCTGTGATAAATAAAAATAGTTAAGGACTCTTCATATATCCAGTGACCTTGGTTACGAATAAAGAGATTAGAGAATTAAGCAAACACTGACAATAAAAAAACAACAGCTCATCATAATGATACGCGGCAATCAGGTGAAATTGTGTTTATTACATATGATTTGACGTGAAGTATAAGAAAATTGAATTTGTCGTCGTCACTTAATTCTTTTAGTTTTGTTCTGTCATCCG